GGATGTAGCTAAATCAGTGCTTAGAAGGAAATTTATAGCATTGAATGCATATATTAAAAAAGAAGAAAAGTCTAAAATGAATAATTTAAGCTTCCACTATAGGAAACTAGAAAAAGAAGAACAGATTAAATCCCAAATAAGCAGAAGAAAATAAATAATAAAAATTAGAGCAGTAGTCAAATAAACTGAAAACAGGAAGTCAATAGAGAAAATCAGTGTAACCAAAAGCTGGGTTTTTGAGAAGATCAATAAAATTGATGTGTCTACCTGTGATAACTAAAATACACAAATTACTGCCAGAAATGCAAGGGGTAATAACACTATAAATCCCATAGACATCAAAGGACAATAAAGAATACTATAAACAACTCTATGCCTGATGTCAAATTTGATAACTTAGATGAAATTAACCAATTTTTTTGAAAGACATAATCTGTTAGTCACACAAGAAAAAAATATGCAGTGTGAACAGGTCTATATCTACTAAAGAATCAATAATTATTAATTTTCCAAAGCAGAAAACACTAGGCCTAGATGAATTTATTGGTGAATTTTACCAATATTTAAGGAAGAAATTATACCAATTCTCTACATTCTCTTCTAGAAGATGGATGCAGTGGGAATATTAACTAACTAACTCAATGAGGCCAGTATTACTTTTCAGAAAAAAATCTCTTCTCAACATAGATGCAAAAATTCTCAACAAATTATTAGCAAATTGAATCAAACAATGAACTATTATTGGGTAAGTATAACTATAAAAAGAACTGTTGACCGCAACCAAGTGGAGTTTATCCCAAGATTAACGTTCAGAAGTTAATTAATACAAACCATCAACAGACTAAAGCATATTAATCACATGATCATGTTAATAGATGCAGAAAAGATATTTGATGAAATTCAACACCCATTCATAATAAAAATGCTCCACAAACTTGGAATAGAAAGGAACTTCCTCATGTTGATAAAGAACAGTCACAAAAGCCTATAGCTGTTTAATGGTGCTTAATATTAAGTACTTACTTAATGGTAGGAAACAAGAAGTTTTCCTGCCAAGATCAGAAACAAAGCAAGGATATCTCCTCTCCCCTGCCCTTTACAACACCATACTGGAAACCTTAGCGAATGTTATCAGAAAATAAAATAAAATAAAAAGTATACTGATTGGAAAGGAAAAAATAAAACTGTTCTTTGTTTGAAGATTACATAATTTTCAGTGTAGATAATCCAAAAGAATTGACAAAACAAAACAAATTCTTGAAATTAATAAGACATTATATTAAGATAGTAGGATACAAGATTAATATATATAAGTCAATTATTTTTCTGTATACAGGCAATAAATGATAGGAATTTGAAGTTAAAAACATAATACCATTTATTTAGGACACTTAAAATAAAATACTTAAGTATAAATCTAACAAAGTATTGTAAGATTTGTATGAGGAAAACTACAAAACTCTGATGAAAGAAGTCAAAGAATAAATAGATGGAGAGACGTTCCACATTTATGCATAGAAATACTCAATATTGTCAAAATGCCAGTTCTTCCCAACTTGAGCTATAGAATCAATGCAATTCAAGCAAAGTCTCAGCAAGTTACTTTGTGGACATTTAAAACTGATTTAAAGTACAAAAGGAGAGGCAAAAGACTCAGAGTAGCCAACAAAATGCTGAAAGAGAAGAACAAAGTTGTAAGGCTGACATTACTTGACTTTAAGACCTACTGCAAAGCAGCAGATATCAAAATGGTGTGGTACTGGCAAAATATTAGACAAATGCGTCAGTGGAGCAGAATGGAGAGCCCCAAAATAGACCCACATAAATAAAGTCAACTAAACTTTGACAAAGAAGCAAAGGCAATATGGTAGAGAAAAGATAGTCTTTTCAATAAATGGTGCGGGAACAACTGGACATCAACATGTAAAAAGAATGAATCCACACAAAGACTTTACACTCTTTGGACCATTGATCCAAATGTAAAATGCAAAACTATAAAACTACTAGAAGATAATATAGAAGAAAATCCAGATGACTTTGTGCATGATGAAGACTTTAAAAATACTACATCAAAGGCACAATGCATGAAAGAAATCATTGACAATCTGGACTCTATTATAATTGAAAACTTCTGCTCTGCAAAAGTTTTGATAAGGGAATGAGAGAAGCAGCAAAGACCAGGAGAACATGTTTGCAAAACGCACATCTGATGAAGGACTGTTATCTAAAATAGACATAGAACTCTTCAAACTCAACAATAAGAAACCAAAGAACCCATTTTTAAAATGGGCAGAAGATCTGAATATATATTCACTAGAGAAGATATGCAGATGGTTAATAAACATATGAAAAAATATTGGACATCCTATGTTATTAGGATATTTCAAATTGAAACAACAATGGAATAACCACTCTAAATGACCTGAAGAAACAGAAAAATAAACTGCTGTTTACATCATGGCTGAGATAGTACCACAGGTTGCCCACATGGATGGCTGAGATAGTGACACCTTTGCTTTCTGCTGGTTCAGTGTACACAAACTTTGTTTCATGCAAAAAATTATTTAAAAGTTTGCATAAAATTGCCCTCTGGCTATGTGTATAAGGTGTATATGGAATATAAATAAATTTCTTGATTAGACTTGAGTGCCATCCCCAGAATATCTCATTATGTATATGCAAACATTCCAGGATCCAAAAAGGGTCCAAAATCTGAAACACTTTTAGTCTCAAGCATTTCAGATAAGAGATAATAAACTTGTATCATTGTATACCTATCAGAATGGCCAAAATCCAAAAAACTGACAACACCAAATGCTGGTGAGAATGTGGAGCAACAGGAACTCACATTCATTGCTGGTGGGAATGCAAATGGTACAGCCATTGGAAGACAGTTTGGCAATTTCTTAAAAAATTTAACATACTCTTACCATACAATTCAGCAATAATATTTCTTGATACTTACCTAGATGAGTTGAAACACATATCTACATTAAAACCTATACACAGATATTTATGGAAGCTTTGCTTATAATTGTCAAAACGTAAAAGCAATCAAGATGTCCTTCAGTACGTGAATGGATAAAGTGTAGTACACCCAGGCAAAATTCAATGCTAAGAATAAATGAGCTATTAAATCATGAAAATACATGAAAGAACCTTAAATGCATATTACTAAGTGAAGGACACCAATCTGAAAAGGCTACACACGGTATGGTTTCAATAGTATGACATTTCGGAAAAGCCAAAACTACGGTAATAGTAAAAAGACAATGGTTGTCATGAGTTAGGGATGAATGAATGGAGAATAGAGGATGTTTAAGGCAGTCAAACTACTCTGTATGATACTGTAATAGTGGATACATGTTATTACACATTTGTCTAAATCCATAGAATGTGCAGTGACAAGAGTGAACCGCAGAATAAACTACAGACTTTGGACGACTTCAATGTGTCAGTGTAGGTTCATCAGTTGTAACCAATGTATTGCACTGGTGAGGGATGCTGGTAGTGGGGAAGGTTGCACATGTGTGGGGGAAAGGGACATGAAAGAGCTCCGAATTTTCTTCTCAATTTTACTATAAATCCAAAGCTGTTCAAAAACAGAAATCTATTAAGCAAAAAGATAAATATTCATTAACTTAAACTGCATTACTATTTTATAAGAATGTTTACTATGCAACATCATAAATTTCTACAGGAAAAAAATTAGTATTAAATTTGTTTTCTGCCTTAGAAGCTTCATTACAAGACAGAGAATGGAATACTTAAAGTTTAAAAATAAGCAAAAATATAAACTTGAAAACATATTTTCCTTATTTTAAAGAGTTTAACAGGAATACTTTGTTCAATATAACCTACTATTTAGATAATGCCAACACTAACACAAAAGTTGTACCACAAGAATAAAAGTTAACACAATTTTTTTCTTTCCTTTATTTAGTTAATGGACCTAAACAGTTCTACTGTAATGAACTCTAGGCATTATATAAAATGCCTAGCTACTAAACAATTAATTTGTTGGTTCAAGTATTTAAAATATAGATTAGACTTCTTTTAAAAGGTACTGGAAAAACATAGACGTGTATGATAGAACCCCTGTTTGGAAGCAAGTATGTGCATATAGATGATGTTCGTAGGCATGTACAATAATAAAGAATATCTACCGATTTTTCTTTTAAAAAAGAGTAAGCTAAGAGTTTTATGGACGTCTTTCAAGAGCAAATAAATCACTTGCTCAGTATAAATCTTATTTATATCTTTGTTATATTAAATGATATAGTTTCTTTTTAATTAGAAGAAACTATTGATTACACAGATAACAAATATTAAATTCTGGCCAATAGCAAAATTTTTGGACAAATGACAAAAGTGTACCAATGAGAAGTGTGAAGAAATAATTTCATAATGATGCTATTCCAATAGCACTATGATCTTTGCTATCATCAATCCAAGGTTTAATTTTACAACAAAAGCAACATTTTTAATCTCTTTCTCTCTGTTAAAAACATGCACACACGCATCCATTCATGCCCATATGCACAACTTCTCATGCCATACTGTCTCTATGAGCACAGCTCAGGTTATCTTCCGTTTTTGACTACTTAAAAATTTTCAGGGGAAAAAATCAATCATAATTTTACAACTCAATAATCAAAAATGACCCCTTGCTGTAATTAAAGATCTCTCAAGGGTATTCTACATTTGAAGTGCAGCTTTTGGCAAGGCACGGTGCTCATGCCTGTAATCCCAGCACTTTGGGAGGCTGAGGCAGAAGAATCTCTTGAACCCAGGAGTTGGAGAGCAGCCCGGGCAACAGAGTGAGACTCTGTCTCTACATAAAATGAAAAATTATCTGGGCATGAGGAACATGCCTGTAGTCCCAACTACTCGGGAGGCTGAGGCAGGAGGATTGTTTGAGCCCAGAAGGTTGAGACTGTGTGAGCCATGATCATGCCACTGTACTCCAGCCTAGGAGACAAAGCAAGACCCTGTATCAATTTTTTTTTTTATAACTAAAGGACATTTATTTATTTTTACCAAGACTTTATCTTGAGGACATGGCTAAACTGCATTTCCACCCCCCACCCCATCTTGAAGAAGGGTTAGTACATGAATGTTATAAAGTAGATATGAACAGTTGAAGGACTGGAACCAACATTAACTGACGAAGAACAACTTTCATCTAAATCATCATAAAAATGTTTAAGTAAAAAAAAAAAAGAAAAGAAAAAAAGAGAGGGTAACGGGGGTTTCCAATTGAACAAGATCCTCACATTTCATCCAATACAGTCAATCTTGGCTAGAGTATAACAAAGTGGAAACAGGATTACTATGATACAAAACTTCCACTACAGCACGCTGTACACACCTGTGTTCCAAGCCCACCCCAACCCCCCCAGTGCTTCCAACACAATTATTTCCCAGCCTGTGGGGCCTCCCGACGAAGGAGCACGTAGATCTTCTCTTTAATCCAGTCTTTGTTATAAGGCTGGTATGTCTGGGTATCAGCTCGGTAAACCAGGCAGCTGAGGTCTGCCAGATCATCGATGAAATCAAACAACTGACTGATGTCATATGTGATAGAGGGACTGTTGGGATTCATTCTTTTCAGATGTTCTTCATACATTTTACAAACACCTTCCATGCATTCATTCAAAGATTCGTAGTCAGCATAAGTTCTCCCTTCTGGCCTCTTAGTAGGCTGTACCAGCAAAATGGTGTGAGACATCGCGCCAAACTCTCTTCGCTGCAGCTCAACCCTGTATCAATTTTAAAAAAAATTAGAAGTGCAGCTTTCCATGAAGTCTTTGATGGCAATTGATAGATGCAGGTGAAACAGAGTTTATCTTTTTCTCAGCAGAACATTTTTTAGGTTAGTGAATAAGCAATGGTTAAATTCATCAGTTGGCATGAAGGTAAAAAAACTTGGCTTGGCCTCCTTATTTTTATAGTTTGCTTTGAAGTACAATATATCTGTGAGATGAGGAAAGTTAAACCCGAGTTCTATTTCTCCTAACGTTACAAGTTAAACAATGATAAAGTATATTTCTTCTATGTGTGTGGTTCCGAAATTATTCATTGCAAAATCCTGTATCGTTTCCCATTTAATTAATTGCAGAGATTGAAATTTGTATACTTGTCAATGTCAAATTATCATTTATATTATGAAAGGCATCACAAATACTATTCATTCTAGTTCAACACCAATTCCTTTCTTTAAAGAATAGAAGGTCATTTAATTTAATCTGGGCCAACCAAATCTTTCCTGGCAAAAGACAAATTATTGGCTTAAAATTTTTGGCAAGGAGCTGCACATTTTTCTCCTTGATCATCTGAGAAGATTTAGCAGGATTTATGAGTCCCTAACATCTTGATCTCAGTCTCTAACAAACCACTGAAAATGAACACTTAAGGCTAATAAAGCTGACCCGGGCAGATCAACCAATTCCATAAGATATGGGATGAAGAAACTATCAGGGTTCTTACGTTGCTTTCAGAGGTGATGGGCTATCCTCTCAGAAATTCATAACAAGGTAAATACCTGGACACAGAAGCAAATAAGTATATTTCTATGAAGATTACAGTTGAAGAAGTAGGATTTTTTTTAACAAGTGAAAGTGTAAGGGAATAAAATGCCCTGAAATCACTAAAATCAATAAAACTTCAGCAGACCTATTAACTTCTGGGCCAGAAATGTCCTAAATGGGTAATAACAACCTTTGAGTTCTTCAGACGAGTTTTGTGGGTGCTACGCAAATTGAGTTAGGTAGAAATCCTGCTAGCATCAACAGCCGCCCAATTACAACCAATATTATTAGCATATAGCAATAATCCTAATTACGTTGGGTCAGATACGAATGTTTCCAGAGTAAGGCCCAGTGCCACTTACAATCCTGGCTCTTACGGCAGGCTCTGAGACCGACTGGAGAACTGCCAATGTGGTTGAAGGTTTGGCAGTCATTACAATTCAGATGGGGGTTAGGGCAGAGAAAAAGGTGTCAACTAATACATAGTAAGAAGTCTCAAGACAGGAGTATTAGACTCTGACTTATTCAAGATAAAAATATAGTTGTAAGGTTGCCAAAACTAGCTAGCAGCAATGGCTATAATGACATTAACAGAATTTATACCATTCTTCTTTGAACCAACAATAACCTAAACTATTATTATTCTCTGCAGAAGAGATGTAAGAAAGGTAGTTTTCTCTGTGTTAGAGCACAAAATGATGGAATGATCAAAGTTTTATTTTCCCTCTGGAATCCAGCCCAAAATAATTGCTGCTACAGCTGCAAGAAAACCCACTACAGTTGCCGGAATCTGCTTTAAGGCCAAACTGCCAATTCTTAGGTTCTACTTTTCAACGGGTGAATCCATCTTCCCTATATTTACCGCAGTGGTTAATCTTGATGCCAATGTCATTTCCAAGTTTTCATGGAGAACAAGAAGTGCAGAAATTAAAATGAAAACTTCTGTAACTTTTTTGAACACTTCGTATTAATTTCCCATTACTGCTATTGCAAGTCACCACCAACTTAGTAACTTAAAACAACACAAATTTATTATACTGCAGTTTTAGAGATCAGAAGTCCTAAATTTAAGGTGTCAGCAGGGCTGCATTCCTTCAGGAGGCTGTAGGGGAAAACTGTTTCTTTGCCTTTCCCAACTTCTAGAGGCCACCTGTATTCCTTGGCTCATGGTCCCTACCTCCATCTTCAGAGTTGGCAGTGTAGTATCTTAAACCTCTCTCTCTGATCTTTGCTTCCATCATCACATCTTCTCTCTTACTCTGACCCTTTTGCCTCCCTCTTATAAGGGACCTTGTGATTCTACTGGACTCATCCAGACAATCCAGGAAAATGTTCCCATTTCCAATCCTTAAAGTAATCACATCAACATATTCATAGGTTCTGGGGATTAGGGCATGGACATCATTGGGGGATGGCCTATTCTGTCTACCACAGTCCACGCTCTGATCCCCAAAGATCTATGTCCATTCTACAGGCAAAATTTATTGACCTCATCCCAACATCTCCTGAAGTCTCAAACCATTGAGATTTCTCAGCGTTGTTCTATATCTAACATAATGCCCACTGAAAATACTCCAAAACCCGCTAGCAAACATGGTGAAAGCATTTGCAATATCATAATGTCACTGAATTTCTTTGTTAATTTGTTTGTTTCCAAAATGCTATCTTCTTCACCATCACTAGGAGTACCTTCATCTTTTAACATGGCAGTAGTTTCTGAAGCTTGCCTTCCATCCCAGTATGGCAGAGTCATCATGTTTGGTGACAGTTTGATAGCACCTGACCATTGTTTTCTATGAAAAGACTGCTGTGAGAAACCGATACTCTCTCCATAAGTTGTTCTGATCTATTACTAAAAGCCTGTGTTCCAGTTGATAATTTATCCTGCCAAATACCTTTGGTTTTTTTTATTCCTGTCTTTCTGACTTTTCTGGTAAATGACTGGACCCATATTCAGCAGTAAGTTAAAAAAAATTATCAGATTAAATTGCATTAAATTTAACTCCAATCTGCAAAACTTTCTCCATGACTTGGACCACTATTGTGTTAGTAATAGATCTTTCTTTATTATTAGTCATCCTGTCATAGCAACAGAACGTGTATTCCTTTGTTCTCAAACTGCATGAGCAACTGTAGCAGTTGAATCAGAACCACAAACACTGGTTTTAAATTAAGATACTGACTTCGGCCGGGCGCGGTGGCTCATGCCTGTAATCCCAGCATGTTGGGAGGCCAAGGTGGGTGGATCATGAAGTCAGGAGATCGAGACCATTCTGGCTAACATGGTGAAAACTCATCTCTACTAAAAGTACAAAAAATTAGCCAGGAGTGATGGCACACGCCTGTAGTCCCAGCTACTCGGGAGGCTGAGGCAGGAGAATCACTTGAACCTGGGAGGCAGAGGTTGCAGTGAGCCG